TTTTTTTTTTTTTTGGGGGGGGGGGGGGATTGAAGGCCAGCCAAAAAACAAAAAAGAGGAAGTAGAAGACAAACAATCTACCAAAAAAATCTCAACTTGTAAGCAAAAACAAAGAAAAATGGATTGATGAGAAAGAACACATCATCGTAGAATTTCACATGCAATTGTCTAACTACTAAAGTCTCAATCACACCTTTTTATAAATAGATCAAGTAATTGAAAAAATTAGCAATTCAAACTTGTAAATCACAAAATAATTGCCTTAATCACAGAGCCCCATCTTCCTCCTCTTCTTCTTCTTCTTCGCAATAGATATCCATCGTAGAAACTCTAGAAAGCTTACAGATCAAAGCATTGTCGATAACATAGAAGCTTCAATCTTTATGCTGGTGCTCCCCCAGCTCTCTAGTTGACTCAATCTCTCTCTCATTGTTCATATTCCCCTCCTTTACTTTCTCTTTCTCTCTCTCAACCAAGACCCAACATATCATACCATTGGGCAATTTATCACCTTCAATTGCCCAACTACTGAAACCTGAATCACACCTTTTTATAAACAGATCAAGGAATTGAAAAAATTAGCAACACAAGCTTGTAATTCATGAAATAATTGCCTTAATCACACAGCCACATCTTCCTCCTCCTCTTCTTATTCGCAGTAAAGATCCATCGCAAAAACCCTAGGAAGCTTGTAGATCAAAGAATTGTCGATCGAAGATGCTCGCGTTCTCCATAGTTCTCCGGTTGGCTCAATCTCTCTCTCTCTCTCACTGTTTGTCTCCCCCTCCCTCATTTTCTCTCTCAACTGAGACCCAAAATATCATACCGTTGATTTTTATTTGTCTTTGCCTTTTTTTTTTTGGTCCCACATGACACATCTATCCTTAATAAGGACTCTATGTTGGTTTTATATTTGTGTTTTTCAAGTTTATATTTTTTTTCATTTGAATTTCTTGATAATCTAGTTAGGACTTAAACTCATTAAATTAATACTTCATTAAGGTTTGTTTTATATGTGTAATGGAAGATTTAATAACTATACGTACGTAGTGGACAAATATTTTTGTAATTAGAAATGCATTAAATGGACAAGATCAGTGTTTTGAAAAGCTCGCCTAGGCGAGAAGCGAGGCGAGACGAGCTTATCTTGCCTGGAGGACCCCAGGCGAAGCGAACGTGAGTAAAGCGAGAAAAAGCGAAAAAGCAAAAAAGCAGAAAAAGCGAAAAAACGAACACTTTATTATAAGAGGCGATTTTGCTTCACTTTTTTTTTTTTTTTTTCTGATTACAGGTTAGTAGTCTCTTTTATTTTTTAATCACTAATGACTTTTTTTGTAGACTATTGCTGGTCTATTTTTTTTTTTTTCTAATAAACAATGTTTCGAACAAAACACATTCTTTTTTTTTTTCTTGTGTTGCTGAATTCATTTAGAATATTTATGGGATGTGGGAGTCAGGCGACTGCATGACAAAATTATGATAGAAAAAGGAAGCAGGAGTATCAGGAATGGGGGTAAATAATAGAGTCTTCTACAAAGAAGTGTCTCTGATATATCTTGGTTATACTTTTCCCTTTTCTTATATATATACAAATGGTACCAAAAAGTGGTCTATGCTTATACCATGTTTAATTATTTTAGTACATGTGAAATGTGCCTCTGTTCTGCTTTTTTTTATTCAGTACATAATTACATATGAAATTGTTTACAATTGATTCTGCTCCTGTCATGATCATTGTGCTTCTATTTTTTTTTTTAGCTTATTCTGCTTCTATTTTTTTTTGTTGATTCTATTACTGCTTCGGTTTTGTTGTCCTGTGTTGCTTCTGTTTTTTTTTATCCTCATTCTGCTTCTTTTTTTTTTGTTGCTGATTCTACTTCTTTTGTTGTCCTACCCTGTAAATATGAAAATGTATACAATTGTTAGTATTTGTTTGAATTTAAATGTTTAAGTTATGACTGTTATTAAGATTTGAGATATTATTAGTGTTTGTTTTAATTTAAATGTTTATGGTTTTACTTGCATTTAAATATTTAGTATATATAAAATTAGAACTTAGATTGTTTAGAAGTAATTAAACTAAAATATATATTTTTTTTAACTGTTCGCTTTGCTTCGGTAAAGCGTGTTGCTTCGCTTCTCGCTTCTCGCCTAGGCGTTAGGAGCCTTGGTCGCTTCAGTTCGCTTTACGTCTTAAATAACACTGGACAAGATATTGTTGTATTTTTCATAAATTTTTAAAATTATAAATTAAATTAGATTACAATTACGTTAATATAATATCTATATTTAATAGTTTTGGGATCTAATTTATTTATCAAATTAATAATTTACAAATACATATTTTTTGTTGCCTTTTAATGTAGAAAAATTTTAAAATTAAATACAAGTTCAAAATAACTAGGGTAATATATATTTATAGCGTAACAATTTAGTGATATTTATAGCTTAATGTGGCAATGGGTAAGGCTCATTATGTTTTTAAATGCTTACATTGAAGATAGATGGTCATTAATATTTCCACTGGCCCCTTTATAATTCCTTTTCACTATGTTTAATGAGTTAAATAATGTATTTTAGGGATATGATGCATGGATGAAAATGTTTACATCTTTTAGAAATGTTCATGATTTTTCAGAAAAAAAAATTAGGTCTTATCTAGCGTTTTAAGAGTATTAACCAATATTACAACAATTGTATCTCAGTGTCCTCTGACTACTGATTCTGTGAACTGGAACCATAATTTGAATGTTGGGCCTCAGTACTAGAAATTCTTTTTTTTTTTTTTTTGGATTTTTTAGATGAACAAGGAACAATGGGGGGCCTGGTAGAGAAAATTCTCTTATGGGGGACTTCTTGATATTATTTTTCTATTTATGGATACTGTGCAAATCCTCTTTTGTTCGAGTATGTGGTCTTAGAGCTAAATTTTGCTTTTGCAACTATAAGTCTCTGCTCCTTTGCAAGGACGAATTTGTCTTAAAATTGTCTTATTTGAGCAATCCTTTTTGGTTGCTTCTTTGAGTATGGTTCTACAAAAGGGAACATGTGAATCATTTGTTTAACGATTTGTGTAGAATTTTCAAATGACTAGCTACAAGTCAATTTATGATTGTCTTATCTGATTGCAAATTTCAGTAATATTGAAATCCTCTTTCTTTTTAATCTAGCATTATCCAGTAGAGGAAGATCTATGCTGCGTCTATGTCCCTACCAACCATCTCTACATTGGTGATATATTCTTGGTCAATGCCAGAGACATTATTAGACCAAATTTGTCAGTTCGGGAAGGAATTGGTAAGAACTCTTCTTGTCTTCTTATTGAAAGCTGCCAACTAAGTGCGATATACACCAATTTTTTCCTGCCTTAAACACCATTCTCACCCACCATTACCTACAATCATGTCTGTAGTTAGGTTCTTGCCCGGGCCACCAGGATCCCCTCATTAATGTCAACCCGGTGTTCCTTGCCAATCACATTATTATAGAGCTCAGATTGCAGTTATTTTATGGTCAGAATGCTCCAAAGTGCTTGATACTTCAGTTTCATGAGGAGAGATGTCCATATTAGAAGATAGGGCCATACATGCATGCACTATATACTGTTCCAACAAAAAGGAAAAAATATTGTTGCATTTAATCTCTCAGGGCTTTTTTCACCAGCTGATTATTAGGTCAACATATCTCATTTATTCTCTACCTGCAGAAATCGTTGTTTCTGGGGGCATGTCGATGCCCCAGATCCTATCAACTTTGGATGATAGAAGTAGACCCGACAGAGGCTGAGAATGAAGACATTAGATGTAGCAGAGGTGTCTACTCATCATCTGGCCGAGTTGCAGATTCAATGATCAGAGTGGGCACATAATCTTTTTGTGCTGGTATTTAAGAATATGCAATTAGATTTTTATTAGTTGATGCTTCAAGGGTTGATCCTAGTGGCATATGTAACTTTGGTTGTCATATACAATGTAGGAAAGTAGTGCTTGTGTAGTAAATATAGCTGGTTGATAATTCCAATCGATAGCTTGCTTCATTTTAAAGTTTGATTTTACCTCTACCCAGACCGAGTGCAACCCATCTCCGGATGGGTCTTCACAATTTTAATGTTCCAGACTGCAGTTGAGTCTTGTAGATAGGAGACGAAGTTATGGCTTATATCTTGAAGACACTTATCACTCGGCTTAAACTTACCCCCCACCCCCCCTCTCTCGAGCGGCATTTTAGTGATGGGGTCTGAAATCTGAATCCTGATTTTTGGCTGACAGGAAATGCGACTGTATACCCAGCTAGTGAAATTTGATGGTTTGATGTTGAAAAAAAGAAATCCCAAATCTGCAGTGTTTGCAAGCTTTTAATTTGTTGACATTCTGAAACTTGTTGCTTTCTGCTAGGATTTTACGTTGTGGGCAGAGTGTGGGTGCTTCTGTCAATGGTTTTCGATAGCTTGGACTCACCTAATGCAACTCTAGTGGTATGAATCTTGTACTCAAAAGACAATTAGATGTAAAGCATGTTTGGATTGGATGACAAGGGGGAGTAAGGGGTGGGATTGGAACTTGGTCCAGATAACATCCCAGTTTCTAATTTCTGTTGGGAATTAACTCTGCAGTAATTTGGTCACGACAAAAAAATAAATAAGTGGAATAAAGAAAATTAAAGCACAACTAACAATACTAAGATTTACGCGGTTCGACAAAATTGTTTTATCTTACGGTCACGAGATGTGATTTGGTCTCTTTTCTTTACTATTGAGAAAAAATGGGTACAATAGTACAGGTCTCACCACTCGGGTTTAAATTCTAGACCCAAGCCTTTAACCCTTGTACAGCCCACTCAACCTTTACCTTCTCAAACCTCCGGTAAAAAAAATTTCTTGTACTCTTAACAAGAAAATGAAAATTAAACAAATACAATTTTTAGGAGGATCTAAAAACTAGCGCTGCAACTTGTGTGGGTAACCCAATTTCAACCTAAGCTCAACCCGAAAAAATTAGGGTTTGGGCTAGCGTTTTTAATACTTGGATTGGGTTTGGTTTAAAAAAATCAACCCGAATTCAATTTGGGCGGACTTTGAGTTGAGGCATCGGGTTTAACCCGAATAAATAACTATATAAATATAATTTTAGATTTTTATCCTTAGGGTTAATTTGAAGTCTGCTCCTCCACCTTTCTCACTCACTCTCACTCTCACTCTCAGTCTTTTTCACTCTCACTCTCAGATCCCTCTCCCCTGCGCCTCCTCGCTCTCTTAACCACCTTCATCTTCGTCATCTCAAAGTCTCAACGCTCTCTCAACCTCCTTTGTCTTCGCCTTCCTCTCTCAAACACGTAACTGGTTCTTGTGGGCAGTGGACAGTGGTTGCAGTTGTAGCAGTGGTAACGATAGTTACAGTAGAAACAACGAATTGGGGGTAATGGCTGTGTTCTATTTGTGTTAAATTGGCAACAGTGGACTAGTGGCAATGTTCCGTTTATGTGTTATGACAGTGTTATGTGTTATGTTTGTGTTCATCTTATTATGTGTTCTGTTTGTGTTAAATTGGCAACAGTGGACTGGTGGTAATGGTAGTAATGTTCATCTTGTTATATGTTTGGTTTGTGTTAAATTGGCAGCAGTGTTCTGTTTATGTTTATGTCAACCCGAATTGGACCCGTAAAATAACCCGAAATTAAAAACTTGAATTCAATTCGAGCCCGCCCGAATTAAACTCGGGCAGTGCTCGAGGTTAGTCCATCGGATTGAAATCAAGTTAGGGTTAATGTTAATGTTGAAGATTATACACCTAAAGTTGGGCTAGAGTTGACTGTCCAACTCGCCCGAGTTGCATCCCTACTCAAAACTAAGAGACTCATGCCTAATTATAGGCATATCAAAGTGGTGGTAAATGAACTTCTTTACATTTAAGTAATGCATTTGATGGCTCCACTTATATCCTCCAATAATATTTTAGCAATGACATCATCTAACCAATTACAAAGGAACTCTCATCTCATGCAAGCAATGGAATTGCTCCACTTGCATCTTCCAATCATATTTTAGTAATGATGTCATCAAACCAATCAAAACAAAATTTGAGCCACTGCCAACAAATCTTTCACCTTGGTGAAAATTTCATAACCTTCACCTGAAACTTCTAGCCTGCATTTCAATTTGAGGTGCTCATCCCCACGCCTTGGGATGCCTCGTCAATCTTTAACAGTGTGAAAGATTGATCAAGTCCAATCAATGCTTGAACTTCTGTGTAGTCACTGGCTTTGTCAATATATCGGTTGCATTATTCTCCGTGTATGCTTTCATCAAACTTATCTTGTTATCCTCTACCCATTCTCTGATAGTGTGATACCTCACGTCGATGTGTTTCGTCTTGGCATGATAAACTTGATTGTTTGCTAAGTGAATAACACTTTGACTATCACAATACAGCTCCAAGCTTTCCTGCTTCAATTCCAATTCTTTGACCAACCCTATCAACCACAAAGCCTCTTTGGCAGCTTCCACCATTCCCATATACTCCGTTTTGGTTGTGGATAAAGCGGGGTTTGATTGAAGCATAGCTTTCCAACTGATAGGTCCACCTGCAAGAGTGAAAATATAACCTATAGTAGACCTCTGTTTATCCAGATCACCTGCATAGTCTGAATCTACATAGCCCACAACATGTCCTGTCTCATCTTGTCTCTAATACAAGATGCCAAAATCCACTGTATCTTTCAAGTACTTGAAAATCCATTTAATTGCATTCCAACACTCCTTTCTCGAATTTTTCGTGTACTTACTTACAATGTTGATTGCATGTGAGATATCTGGCCGATTGCAAACCATGGCATACATTAAGTTTCCTACTGCACTAGCGTACGGAAACTTGGGACATTTCTTCTCCACATATTTCTTCTATGAGACCCATAGTTTGCCTTTTTCTCTGTCCCTCCGAATTTTCATGCCAGAATCTTTTTAGCAGCACCTAGATCCTTCATGTCAAACTCACCCCAAAATCTGGACTTTAGCAAATCTACCTTATGCATGTTATTTGAAGCAATTAACATGTCATCAACATAAGACATCAGAATAATAAAAGAACCATGGTCAAGCATCTTATAATAAACACAACTATCATAACTGCTTCTCATGTAGCCAACATGCACTATAAAGGAATCAAACCTCCTATACCATTGTCAAGAAGACTGTTTCAACCCGTAAAGAGATCTTTTAAGTTTACATACCAGATTCTCTTTTTCTTGCATCTTGAATCCTTCTGGTTATTCCATATATATTTCCTCCTCTAATTCTCCGTGAGGGAAAGCTATCTTGACATTAAGTTGGTGCAACTCAAGGTCAAACATAGCTACCCTGACTAACATAACACAAATAGAAGAATGTTTTACAATGGAAGAAAACATTTCATTATAGTCAATTCCTTTGACTTGCCTATATCCTTTTGCTACAAGACAAGCTTAAAATTTTTCTCTTTCATTTTCTATTGTAGGTTATTTTTTTCGATATACCCATTTGCAACAAATCACCTTTCACCCCTTGGGTTTTTCAATAAGCTCCCAAGTGTTGTTTTAGTGTAAAAACTCCATCTTATCCTCCATTGCTATCATCCACTTTTTACTTTCTTTGTCATTGACAGCCTCTTGAAAAGAAGATGGATCTCCACTACCAACAACCAATACCAAAAAAATCATATCCTCAAAACCATACATGGCTGGTGCCTTATGGGTTCTTTTATCTCTTCCAGCAACTAGAGTTGTGGATTCTTGTTGCTCTTCATCACCACCAGATGTATCTTTCTGAGAGGACGTTGGTACATTATCTTATTCATTGGGCCATTGAGTTTCATCTAGCTCTATTTGGATTGAAAATTTTTCTGCATGAGCCTCCACATGCTTATCAGCATCTTCCCTGTTTAAGTTCAGCATATGTTCTTCATTGAAGACACCATCCCTGCTAATTACAAGTTTTCGTGCAACTGGATCCCAAAGTTTATAACCTTTCACGCCTTTTTTCGTAACCAATAAATATGCACTATTTGGACTTTGGATCCAACTTCGATCGTTGCTACTCCTGCACATGAACATAGGCAAGATAACCAAATATTCTTAAATTAGAATAATCAACCGATTTACCTGTCCACGCCTCCTCACGGTGACTTATTAACAATATAGCATGCCATGTTAATAGCCTCAGCCCAAAATAATTTTGGCAATCGTGCAAGAAGTCTCATGCATCTTGTTTTTTCTAAAAAGGTTCTGTTCATTCATTTCGCTACACCATTTTATTGTGGCCCACCTAGTGTAGTATAATGTCGAGTAATCCCTTCTATTTGGCAAAGCTTTCTGAATTCCTAGAGTTTATACTCTATGTCATTGTATGTCCGTAGGTACTTGACCTGTTTACCTGTCTGCTTTTCAACTTTAGCTTTTCACTACTTGAATTTGTCGAAGACTTCATTTTTGTGCTTCATAAAATAGACCCATACTTTCCTCGAGAAGTCATCAACAAATGTCATGAACTATACTGCTCCACCTTTGGACTGAACTGGGACGGGTCCCCATACATCCGAGTGTATGTACTCCAACACATCCTCGCTTGTATGCTTCCCAGTCTTGAAGCTCACCCTGCACTGTTTACCATACAAGCAATATTTGCAAAAATTAAATTTACAAACTTTGACACCATCAAGCAGCTTTCGTCTGTAAAGTTCCTGCAGTCTTTTTTCACTCATATGACCAAGGCATAAATGCTATAGGGTAGTGTTATCAGTACCTGAATCCAACAAAGT